AATGTAGCAGGATACAAAATTAATGCCAAGAAATCTATGGCATTTCTTTACACCAATAGTGAACTTACAGAAAGTGAGACTAAAAAAGCAATTCCATTTACCATCACACCAAAAAAATTAAGATACCTAGGAATAAATTTAACTAAGGAGGTAAAAGACTTATATGTGAAAAAATACAGGACACTGAAAAAAGAGATAGAGGAAGACATAAACAGATGGAAGAACATACCGTGTTCATGGATTGGTAGAATCAATGCCATCAAAATGTCCATTATACCCAAAGCAATCTATAGATTCAATGCAATCTCCATTAAATTACCAAAAGCATATTTCACAGATCTAGAACGAACACTCCAAAAATTCATCTGGAATAAAAAAAGACCTCGAATAGCTGCAGCAATCCTGAGAAAGAAGAAGAAAGTAGGCGGGATCTCAATACCAGATATCAAGCTATATTACAAAGCCACTGTTCTTAAAACAGCATGGTACTGGCACAAGAACAGACATGTAGATCAATGGAATAGAATAGAGAACCCAGAAATTGACCCAAAACACTATGCCCAATTAATATTCGACAAAGGAGGCAAGAGCATACAATGGAGTCAAGACAGTCTCTTCAATAAATGGTGTTGGGAAAATTGGACAGATACATGCAAAAAGATGAAACTAGACCACTGACTCACACCATACACAAACATAAACTCAAAATGGATAAAAGACTTAAATGTAAGACAGGAAACCATAAAAATACTAGAGGAATCCACAGGCAGTGAAATCGCAAACATATGCCGAAGGAATTTCTTCTCTGATACTGCTCCTAGGGCAATGGAAACTAAAGAGAAAATAAACAAATGGGACTACATCAAAATAAAAAGCTTTTGCACAGCAAAGGAAACCATCAAAAAAACGACCAGAATGCCCACTGCATGGGAGAACATATTTGCCAGTGATATCACCAATAAGGGTTTAATCTCCAACATCTACAGGGAACTCATGCAACTTAACAATAGGAAGATAAACAATTCAATCAAAAAATGGGCAACGGACCTAGATAGACACTTTTCAAAAAAGGACATACAGAAGGCTGAAAGACATGAAAACATGCTCAAAGTCACTAATTATATGAGAGATGCAAATCAAAACAACAATGTGGTATCATCTCACACCTGCCAAAATGTCTATCATCAATGAATCGACAAACAACAAGTGTTGGAGAGGATGTGAAGAAAAAGGAACCCTTTTGCACTGCTGGTGGGAATGCAGACTGGTGCAGCCACTGTGGAGAACAGTATGCAGTTTCCTCAAAAAACTACAAATGGAACTCCCATTTATTTGACCCAGTGATCCCACTTCTAGGAATATATCCCAAGAAGCCAGAAACACCATTCAGAAAGGATATATGCACCTCTATGTTCATAGCACCACAATTCACCATTGCTAAGATCTGGAAACAGCCTAAGTGCCCATCAGCAGATGAGTGGATTAAAAAACTGTGGTGGTGCCGAAAGCGATTTGGCTCAGTGGATAGAGCGTCAGCCTGCAGACTGAAAGGTCCCAGGTTCGATTCCGGTCAAGGGCATGTACCTGGGTTTCGGGCACATCCCCAGTGGGAGATGTGCAGGAGGCAGCTGATCGATGTTTCTCTCTCATCGATGTTTCTAACTCTCTATCCCTCTCCCTTCCTCTCTGTAAAAAAATCAATAAGATATATCTCTTTAAAAAAACACACACACAAAAAAAACTGTGGTACATCTACACAATGGAATACACTGCAGTAAAAAGAAGGAACTCTTGCATTTGCAATTGCATGGATGGAACTAGAGAGCATTATGCTAAGTGAAATTAGCCAGTCAGAGAAAAATACATACCACATGATCTCACTCATTTGTGGAATATAGAGAACAACATAGACTGATGAACAGGGACAGATCCAAAGACAGAGAAACAGCGAGCAGACTATCACTCCCCAGAGGGAAAGTAAGGGAGGGTGGGGGTAAGGGGAAGAGATCAACCAAAGGACTTGTATGCATGCATATAAGCCAAACCAATGGACATGGACAACAGGGGGATGAGAACATGAGTGGAGGGGGGGAAGGTTTGGGGGTTAATGGGGGGATGAGGACATATTTGTAATACCTTAAACAATAAAGAAATTAAAGATATAAAAGAAAAAATTATGTAAGTCTTTGTTTTACTATGGTTGCAAATATCAAAAAATTTCTATATGTGACATGGCACCAGAGTTAAGTTGGGGTTTTTCAAAATGCTGGCACGTCAAGCTCAAAAGGTTCGCCATCACTGCTCTAGACACTAGAGCAGCAGTTCTCAACCTGTGGGTGGCCAACCTGTGGGTCGAGACCCCTTTGGGGGTTGAACGACCCTTTCACAGGGGTCACCTAAGACCATCGGAAAACACATATATAATTACATATTGTTTTTGTGATTAATCACTCTGCTTTAATTATGTTCAATATGTAACAATGAAAATACATCCTGCATACCGGATATTTACATTATGATACATAACAGTAGCAAAATTACAGCTAAGTAGCAATTAAAATGATTTTATGGTTGGGGGTCACCACAACATGAGGAACTGTATTAAAGGGTCACGGCATTAGGAAGATTGAGAACCACTGCACTAGAGCAAAGTGAGCCTGGAGCAAGTTACTGTTGTGGTAGGGGATGGAAGAAAGCAAAGATGAGAGACATAAGTAAAATCAGAGTGTCTAGGAAAAATTAAAGGGAAGATATCCTAAAAGTTCCAGGAAATCTCCACCAATAAAGCAAATAAAAAAATGCCTCTATTATTCTGTGAGCAACAAACCAAACTGGATTGGGGGTCTCAGACAATTCGTTCATATGATTGTAAAGACAGACAGAACTCCCGGGTTGGAGAGGGCTCCCCTGAGGGCTCTCAGATTGGAGAGGGTGCAGGTCAGGCTGAGGGACACCCCAAAACCCCGTTTCTCCCCGACCCCCTGCACGAATCTTCATGCACCGGGCCCTAGTTTTTTATAATTAACTGCTTTGTGGGCTGCCTTTCTCAGTCCTTGTAGCAGGCAGAGAACCACGTGATCTCGAGACCTTTGAGCTGTATGCCCTTCCTGATAGTTCCATTGTGGGTCCCTGTTAGGGACAGCATCCGCTCGGACTGGGAGGGCAGGGGCCTGCCAGTGGAGGGTATTCACGTGGCCCTGGGCATGAAGCCAGATTTGGCTACAGCAATCTCCCCAAGGGGGCACTTAAGGCTAGTGCCAGAGAGAGGGAGGAAGAGAGCCAAAAACTTGCTCTGGAGCAGGTATGAGATAGGATGGTGGCAGTAGGATCCGCTGGGCAGGGTGGCAGACTCTCAGGCTGCTGAGACTGAGGAGCCTTAGACTGGGGGACTGGAGGATGGTCAGCGGGATCAAAAGTGGTGGAGGAGAAGGAGGATTTGAGATGGGGGGTTGGGGGGCTTAGCGTGAGGAAGGAAAATCTGTGAGGGAGAGCAGCTGTTACAGAGAAAAGGATGTGTCCTTGAGTGTAAAAAAGCCTGAATATATGGGACCTCAGGCCATCTGCCCTGCCAGCAGCAGAAGTAGTCAAGATCAGTGAGAATTTGGAAATCGAAAGTACCGTTCTCAGGCCATTGGGACCCATTGTCTAATTTGTGTTGCGACCAAGCGGTATTGTAACAGAAAATGAGGTGCTTGGGACATAAGTCCTGAGCGAACCCTAGGGCCTGTAGATTCTTAAGAAGACATCCCAGGGGTGTGGTGCGGGGAATGGCCGACTGTGTGTTCCCCATAAGGGGGCCTTGAGTCTAATCTCCCGTGGACACTAAGTTAGAGAAAGGCGTCCCCTTCCTCCTGAGCGTCAGAAACATTCGGGTGATCACACCTGACCAGTAGGCGTCCCCACACAGACAGGTGGACCAGGAAACCTGGTTCCCAGATAGTGTGTCCTGACCAGCACTGGATGTCGGCTAGGGAGTGGCTGTGCAGTCACAGCCCAGATCCTGGCCCCAATTATCCCAGACAGAAAATGCGGGACAGCCCAAAGAGGAAGGAATAGTAGACTTGAGCCACTTACCAGTTAACTCGGTGTCTGCAGACATGAATGGAGTTGAATGGAAAGGTGAATGAAGTTGGGGACATATTGGGTCAAGGTGCTGCTGGGCTATCTAGGTGGATTTATCTGACAATAAAATAGAGATGTCAGTTTGCATCTTGAAATAGATAAAATCTATTTTATTTAGGAGTAAATAAAGTCACTTAAATAGTGTGTGAAATGTGCAATTTAAATTGGTGGAAATTATACAAGGCAGTCTATCCTATAACTTTCAAACAAAGCCCATCCTCCTCTCCCACATCCTGCAAATGTTCTCTCCTAAATCATTCCCTTTTGCCATCTCTCTCCTGGGGAACCTCTCTATGGTATTGCTATCCTGGGAAGGGGATATGGTCCCATGCAAGCCAATCTGGACAACAGTATAGTATATAGTAATACACAAAAATCCCATCACAAAACTACCTTTAAACCACCTAGCCCAGGTTCTGTTCCCACCTCCCATCTCTTCCTTTCCTTTCTGGAAACTGGGACTTTACAAAATCTGTGCAAAAGGAAGAAAAGCATGTCTCTATTGATGAGAGGAAGACTGTCTGCATCCCCAAGGTCTTTGCTAGGCCCTATGCTGGACACTAAAAATAAAAAAAAATGAACATCTGCCCCAGTCCACAAGAAATTCCCAGACTGAGGCAGAAAAAGGCCTACCAAAGGAGCACAGCAGTATAGAGTGGCAAGGGCTACACCATGAGAAACCACACAGAAGAGAGGCAATTAGTCCAGGGTGGTGGGAACAAAGGGGCAGTTCCAGAGACAGAACACCCCTGGCAATCGCCCTGCCCATTTCAGCCTGGCACTCAGAGGAGCCAAACCCCCTGCTGTTGAGCACATTGTACACTTAAGACCCCCAACACACACCGGTCACATCTCCCCTGTCCCTCTCTCTCCCTCAGGTACAGCTGGGACCCATTTACAGATTTTTGGTGGCCAATGTTCTTCTCTATTCTCAAAGTCTGTGAAAGACTGCTGGAGCTGGACCTGAGTGGGAACTCTCTGAGCTGCTCTGCAATACAGAGTCTTTGTGACGCCCTGAAAAGCCCTCGCTGCCACCTGGAGACCTTGAGGTGAGTCTGGCCTGGGTTCTGATCTGAAACAGAGATGGACAGGAGACCCAAGGTAGAAGTTGTGTCTAGGATGGATGTGTGGTCTTTGTTTTTGTTTATTTTTTAAGATTATTTTTTGTTTTTCAATTACAGTTGACATACAATAGTATATTAGTTCCAGATATACATCCCAGTGATGAGATATTATAAAACTTACTAAGTGAACATCCTGAAAAATCCTTGTATCCAACAAATATTCATTGAGCCACTCTCTGACCATGGCTATTGCAGTAAGCAAACACAGACAGGATTTTATTTCCACAGAACTTGCAACCACACAAACAAGTGTGTCATTACAGACCCAGCTAAGGGCCTGCAGTGGAAAACTACCTTATAAAGTGAATATTGAAGGACATGTGAAGAATACAGAGGGTTTGCCTAAGTGAAGCAGGAGGGCAGAAAGGTCAAAGGCCCTGTGGCAGGAGGGAGGATGGGCTGTCATGGGATTGAAAGCAGAGAAGCGAGGCTGGAGGATGGAGAGCAAAGGAGCCACAGGAGGTCATGAAGTAAGACTATCTATGAAAGACACTGTTGGAATTTGGGGTTGTTTTTTCTAATGCAATGTGATTATTATTAAAAGGTTGATAAAAATTAGTACATTTACAAAGTAGAACCAGACTACCATATAAAACCTGGAATAGAGGAGAGCTACGGTAGAGCTTGGGAAACCAGTTCATAGGAAAGTTTCAGTTTTCCAATAAAGATGGTGAGAGGTTGCACTAAGGAAAGTTACCATAGTTTCTGCAAGAAATAGTTGTATCTTGGACTATGGTGTTGGCCATGGAAATGGACAAAAGTGAATGGATTTAAGAGATCTAAAAAGAAAGTAAAATCCAATAGATTAGAATTATGGGGAAAGGGAGTTGGAGATATAGAAGATAATCTTGGGTTCAGGTCAGAGATATGCATGGGATAGTGACACCTTCACTGAGATGGAAATACTGGAAGAGGAGTGAATGGGGGGTGGAATGTCAAGGGTGTGATTTTGTGCAAAATCTTCAAGTTTTGTTTTTTTTTGAGATATCCAATGGAAGATGTCAAGCAGGTATCAAATTAACTTCTGTGCAAAAATAAGATGCCCAATAAAACAAATCTCAACAAATTTAAGAGAATTGAAACCATGAAAATTAGATTACCTGAACATAATGAAATGAAATTGGAACTCAATAACAAAGGGAAATTTAGGAAATTTACACATACACACTCTTAAATAAACAATGGGTCAAAGAAGAAATCACAAGGGAAATTTAAAATGCGTTAAGATGAATGAAAACAAAAACAAAATGTATTTGATGCAACTAAATCAGTGCTTACAGGGAAATGTATATTGTCAATGCCTAGATTTTAGAAATAAGGGATACAACTACTCACCCATTAGAACTTCCAAATCTAGAACACTGACACCACCAAATGCTGACAAGGTTGTGGAGCAAAAGAAACCCTCAGACATTGCTAGTGGGGATGCAAAATAATATGGTCATTTTGCAGAATCCTAGTGAACTAAACACACCCTTGCCATATGATCCAGCAATCGTGCTCCTTGGTATTTACTCAAATGAGTTGAAAACTTATGTCCACACAAAAATCTGCACAACAGTGTTTATGTCAGTTTTATTTGTAATTGCCAAAACTGGAAAGCAACCAAGTTGTCCTTCAGTAGGTGAGCAAATAAATAAATGATGGTATATCTATACAATGAAATATTATTCAGTATGTGAAAAAAAATGAGCCCTAAAACTATAAAAAGGATGGGCGAACCTTAACTGCATATTACTAGTTGAAAAAAGGACATTCTGAAAAGCTATATATTATATGAACCCAACAATGTGAAATTCTTAAAAAGACAAAAACATGAAAACAGTAAAAAGATCTGTGATTGCCAGGGGTTTGGGGGAGGTAAGGATAAATAGGCAGAGCAGAGTGACTTCTCTACATGACACTATAATGGCGGATACATGTCATTTTATATTTCAAAAAACCATAGAAAGTAAAGCACCAAAAGTGATCCATAATGTAACCTATGGACTTTGGGTGATTATAATGTGTCAATATAGGTTCACTGATTCCAACAAATTTACTACTCTCTTGCGAGATGTTCATAATGGGGGTGGCTGTGTATGTGGGGGCAGAGGTATATAAGAACTCTCCAAAAAGTTCCAGAGACATAGAAACACAGAGCAGATTGCAGAACCTCTAAGGGAAGGTGGGAGAGGGTGGCAATTTTGCTGAAAAACTAAAACTATTCTATAAAAGAGAAATAGTCTAGAGGATTAAAAATGGCAGCAGAGTAAGTAGATGCTGCATGGACATGCTCCTAAGCTAGCAATATATTAAAAAGATCATACATCATGATCAAGTGGGATTATTCCAGGGATGCAAGGCTTGTACAATATTCACAAATCAGTAAACGTCACACCTCACATAAACAGATTGAAAGACAAAAATCACATGATCATATCAATAGATGCAGAAAAAGCATTCGACAAAATCCAACACGAATTTTTGATAAAAACTCTCAGCAACGTGGGAATAGAGGGAGCATATCTCAACATGATAAAGGCCATATATGACAAACCTACAGCCAACATCATACTCAATGGGCAAAAACTAAAACCATTTCCCCTAAGAACAGGAACAAGACAGGGATGCCCACTTTCACCACTCCTGTTTGACCAAGTACTAGAAGTGATAGCCATAGCAATCAGACAAGAAGAAGTAATAAAAGGCATCCAAATTGGAAAAGAAGTAAAACTCATTATTCACAGATGACATGTTATTGTACATAGAAAAACCCAAAGACTCCATCAAAAAACTACTAGACTTGTAAGAGATCTACCGAAGGACTTGTATGCATGCATATAAGCATAACCAATGGACATAAAACACTGGAGAGTAGGGGAGGCCGGGGGAATGTCGGGGAGGGGGGGGCCGGCGGGGAAGGAGACATATGTAATACTCTTTGTAATACTTTGAGCAATAAAAAAAACTACTAAACTTGCCATGGCTGGTTTATCTCAGTGGGTAGAGCATCAGCCTGCAGACTGAAGAGTCTCGGGTTTGATTCTGGTCAAAGGCACATGCCTGGGTTGTGGGCTCACCCCTGAATAGGGGGCATTCAGGAGGCAGCTGATCACTGATTCTCTCATCATTGACGTTTCTATCTCTCTCTCCCTCTCTCTTCTTCTCTGAAATCAATAAAATATATATATTTTTAAAAACTACCAGACTTAATAAATGAATTGGGCAATGTAGCAGGATAGAAAATTAACACCCAAACATCTATGGCTTTTTAATACACCATTAATGAACTCACAGAAAGAGAAACTGAAAAAAAACAATCCCATTTATCATTGCACCAAAAAAATTAAGATACCTAGGAATAAACTTAACTAAGGAAATAAAAGGCCTGTACTCAGAAAATACAGGATGTTGAAAAAAAAAGACATAAACAAATAGAAGAATATACTGTGTTCATAGATTGGTAGAACCAATATCATTAAAATGTCCATACTACCCAAAGCAATCTATAGATTCAATGCAATCCCCATTAAGGTACCAACAGAATATTTCACAGACTTAGAACAAACCCTCCAAAAATTCATATGGAATTTTTAAAAGACCCCAAATAGCCACAGCAATCCTGAGAAAGAAGAACAAAGTTGGAGGGATCACAATACCAGATATCAAGGTATATAACAAAGCCACTGTTCTCAAAACTGCCTGGTACTGGCACAAGAACAGAGAAGAACAGACATATAGACCAATGGAACCGAACAGAGAACCCAGAAATCGACTAAAGCCAGTATGCTCAATTAATATTTGACAAAGGAGGCAAGAGCATACAATGGAATCTAGACAGTCTCTTCAATATATGGTATTGGGAAATTGGACAGATACATGCAAAATAATGAAACTAGACCACCAACTTACACCATACACAAAAATAAACTCAAAATGGATAAAGGACTTAAATGTAATTTGGGAAACCATAAAAATCTTAGAAGAATCCAAAGGCAGCAAAATATCAGACATATGTCGTAGCAATATGTTTACTGATACAGCTCCTAAGGCAATGGAAACTCAGGAGAAAATAAACAAATGGGACTACATCAAAATAAAAAGTTTCTGCACAGCAAAGGAAACCATCAACAAAACAACAAGAAAGCCCACTACATGGGGGAACATATTTGCCAATGTTATCTGTGATAAAGGTTTAATCTCCAACATTTACAGGGAACTCATACAACTTAACAAAAGGAAGATAAACAATCCATTCAAAAAATGGGCAAAGGATCTAAATACACACTTTTCAAAAGAGGACATTCAGAAAGCCAAGAGACATATGAAAACATGCTCAAAGTCACTAATCATCTGAGAGATGCAAATCAAAATGACAATGAGGTACCATCTCACACCTGTCAGAATGGCTATAATCAACAAACGACAAGTGCTGGTGAGGATGCAGAGAAAAAGGAACCCTGATGCACTGCTGGTGGGAATGCATATTGGTGCAGCCACTATGGAAGACAGTATGGAGTTTCTTCAAAAAACTAAAAATGGAACTTCCATTTGATCCAGTGATCTCACTTCTAGGAATATATCCCAAGAAACCAGAAACACCCATCAGAAAGAATATATGCACCCCTATGTTCATAGCAGCACAATTCACCATAGCTAAGATCTGGAAACAGCCTAAGTGCCCATCAGCAGATGAATGGATTAGAAAACAGTGGTATATCTACACAATGGAATACTACACTGCTGTAAAAAAGAAGGAATTCTTACCATTTGCAACAGCATGGATGGATCTGGAAAGCGTTATGCTAAATTGAATTTATCCCACAGAGACTTCATCTCAAGCTGCACCCTCACAGTGGCCACCTTCACGTTCTTCTTTACTGGCACCTTGGCGGCGGCCCCCAAACTGGCCCCAGAGCCCTCAGGCTGGCAGCGGTGCTGGT